TCCAGGGGATAATACCCCCTTTTTAATAGGCAAAAAGTTTTGTGGGGAAAATCGGGACCCCCCCTTTTTCCACCTCGAAGCGTTTAACAAAAATCCGGCCAGAATTACCAAACCCTTGTAAAAAAAAATAAGTTTCCCCGGGTCTCCAAAATGGTCCTATTTTTTTCTTATAAAACCAACGGAAATTTTGGAAACGTCCACTTCAAAAAATTTTTTTATCCAATGTGAAAGGGTTGTCCCAAAAATTTCCCCCCTTTTTTAAATAAAATTTTTGCAGACAACCCCTCCAAACTCTGCAGTATACATAATCCCGTGTAATGACTGCAACAAGTTATACGTGGGCGAAAACATCTAGGACCTTCCAAACAACGTGTATTCAGAACACCAACACCAAGCTGGTCTGACGCACAAGGAATGCCTGGCGTACAACACCGTAATTCACACAACCACTTGAAAAAACTACAGAAACTCTAGACTTATCGCCACAAAGACAACACTCAATACTACCGAAGAATCCTGGAATCATCACTTATATCTATATCCGACACACTTCAACAAGAATAGTGGCTTCTATAACAGTAGCTGAACCACTTGCCAAGAAACTTCTTCAGTCGAGCTATCCCACATAAGAACACTGTAGAAGGTCTGCTCACAAACTTGGTCCAGTCTCCTTTCCAAGCTACCCAAGTTTTTAGACGCTACAAACCAACTCGGTAACACATCAGCTGCAGCATTCTTCACCAGACCTCACCGGACTAAAAGTACTCGCGTTCCTTCCACCCCAGGTAGTTCTGTTTGTGACTTGAAAAAGCCCACTGTGTGGGTGAGGCGAAACCGTAGTCATAAAAGGATCACATTAAACTGCATTTGTGTTTTATATTGCCAGAAAGCAAGAGTTACCATAATGTAGTGAAATCTGAATGGGGATTAGTCACAGTGGCGTTCCTACCACCAGGAACATTTTTTAGGCCCTCTCTTTTTCATAAATTACATAATGACTTTATGAAGGGATTACTAGTGATATGAGTAAGTTTGCTGATAGATACAAAGATAGGCCGAATAATTCACTCTGAGGAGGATATCAATGAACTCCAGGACGATTTGAAACAAATTCATGGTCTTGTCTGAAAAAAATGGTCAGACGAAGTTCAATGTGGATAATTGTAAGTACTTGCCCTTGGTAATGCAAATAGCCCTCGAAAAGCTAATAATCTAGGTGGAAGTAGAGCTTGGTCATACAGAATGTGAAAAAGACTTGGGAGTCATGGTAAGTCAGAAATCTAAAGCCAAGACAGCAGTGCCCTTAGTGTGCGCAACAAAGGCCACAGATTTACTTGGATTTATCTCAAGCAGTATAAGTAACAGAAGTTTTTCCAAAAAGCATATTTTACAGCTCTATACATCACTAGTGAGGCCTCATTTAGATTATGCTGCTCAGTTTTGGTCCCCTTACTAACAACAGGATGGACATAGACTCAAAGAGACATACAGAGACGAAAGACACCCCCATCAAACCTATACCGGTCCCCACCCTACATCCTCACTCCAACCCGCCAAACCCACACCACACACAGCTGAGGCGACGTGAAAGATGGGCGACATAATTGCCCGTGAATACCTAGTAATCCGTTGCCACACCCCTGTGAGACACTAAAAAACGTAACAGTGGTGACGAACCAGGAAAGAACCAAGGCAAAATGGAAATAAGTTGGGATAAATATAGATATAGAAGAGACCTAGGAAAGTCCAGGTTATAACTACAGCGATAGTAGAAGCGTGGAACAGTCTTCCCAGTGGGGTGAAAGAGTGCTAGGACCTTATAAGCCTTTAAAGAAAGACTGACAAATATACGAGTGGGAGGGGCTTTGTTTGATTTAGTGTCATTGGGGGGGGGGGGGGGGGGGGGTACGGGGGGGATTATTTCTTGGGAAAGCTTATAGTAGTAGTCCGTTTTGAAAAGGACCCTGCTCGTATGGCCAGAAGGTCCTTCTGCAGTGTACCTCAATCATATGATGTTCTTAATGTTCCATCTCTCTCTCTCTCCTTGCTCCTCAACATAAACACCACCCCATCTTCCTTCCGTCCTCGGAGACATCTTTCCATTATGCATTCACGATGTCCATCTCGTCCTCTAATTTACATAAAGCCTTTTTTTTACTGTCCCTGGGTGTTGAAGCCTTTTTCTTTCCCGACCCCCTTTGAGTAAACATTAATGAGCCTTTTCTTCGCGCTGTTAAATAAACATTCATGAGCCTTTTCTTCCTGAATTGAAAGGTAACTGAACCTTTTTCTACTCTCTTTGGAAGAAATAAACCATCTCTTCCTCTCTGAAGGAAACCGACAACTGTATCTATCGCTCTGAAGGAACCACGTATTCCTTTCCTAATCACTCCTCAATGCACCGTAGTCTTTTATTTCTCTGTCCCGAAGAGAAATCATTCTTCCTGGTCTTGGAGAAATACATAAACCTCTCCTCTCACTCACTTCCCTCTCTCTCTCGTCTCCACTCTCACTCCCGTCCCACTCTCTCTACACTCCGCACACTCTCTCCACCTCTTCCCCTCTCACTTCTCTCACTCTTCTCGACTCTCTCTCTATCTATCTATCTATCAATCTATCTGCCTCTAGGAGAATCATAATCTTTTTCTCACATTCAGGAAGGTAAGCAGTAATATCGTGGCTAGTGCCGGGATTCGACCCCCGGCACGATCCAACGTTAGGCGCGTATCCTTATACTTTCTACTAAGTAGAAATCTGATACCTGGGGGGTGTTAGCCACTTATTGGTGGAGCCTGCAAATCTTGGGGAGAATAAGTTGCCTTAAATATTCTGGCCTAACCAAGAACATTCTGTATAACAGCTGGGTCTCATATCAGATGTATCATGTAACGAGTAGCAGGTTTTATTATTATTATTATTATTAATTAATTTTTTTTTAACACATCCGCCGATTCCCGTCAAGGCAGGTGGCCTAAAAAGAAAAATTTCATCATCAATCACATCCATCACTAGTCTTGCCAGAAGGGTGCATTACACTACATTTTAAACTGCAACATTAACACCCCTCCTTCAGAGTGCAGTACAACACTGTAACTTCCAACTCCTCCAGACTCAATTCCGGCATGCCGGTTTCTCTGAATTCCTTCCTAAATGTTACTTTGCTCACACTCCAACAGTACGACAAGTATTCAAAACCATTTGTGTCACCATTCACACCCTATCAAATACGCTCATGCATGCATGCTGGAAGTCCAAGCCCCTCGCACAACAAATCCACCTTTACCCCCCTTCCTCCAACCTTTCCTAGGCCGCGACCCCTACCCCTCCTACCCTCCACTAGAGATTTTCTACACTCTCGCAGTCATTTTGTTTCGATTCCCATTCTCTGTACATGTCCTAACCACCTCAGAAATCAGTCCTCATCCCTCTGGATAACAGTTTTTTCTAATCTCGTACCTCCTCCTAATTTCCAAACTACGAATTCTCCTGCATTATATTCACACCACAGCCATTGCCCACAGCCATGATAATCTCCACTGCACTCCAGCCTTCTCCTTGTTGCAACATTCATCACCCATGCTTCCCATTCACACCATAAAGAGCGTTGGTAAACTATACTCTTATACATTCCCCTCTTTTGCTTCCATGGACAAAGTTCTTTTATCTCCACACAGAACTCCTCAGTGCATCACTCCACCTTTCTCCCCTCATGCAATTCCTATGATTTACCTCATATTTTCATAGACCCATCCGCTGACACGTCCACTCTTAATATTGAATACATTCACCTCCTGCCACACTCTCTCCCTTCCAATTATTATTAATATTATTAAGAACACAAAGGCACAATACCGTGCCGTAGAAATAAACACCAAAGAACACTCAAGTAAGAGAAAAAAAGTATATGACGACGTTTTTCGGTCCGACTTGGACACTTATTAGTTTACAATAACACACGAGGAACCAATGTAAATATATATTATATTATTATTAAAATTAATTATATATATATATATATATATATATAAATATATATATATATATATATAAATATATATAAAATATAAGTATATATATATACTGTCTCCCTTCCTTCGTGCGTTAGTATGACATACTTAATGTACCGATTTAGACTCGAAGCGTCGACATAAATTTCTTTCTCCTATATGCGGTTTATTTGTGTATAATAATTATTATTATTATTATTATTATTATTATTATTATTATTATTATTATTAATATTATTTACTGCGACGGGGTATCTGTATCCTCCATTTCTTGCAGTACTATAGGTAACACTTCTCTTTTGTGTCTGATCTAGGAAATCATGTCCTTGTTTCAAGGCCAGAAAGACCCTTTGGTAACCGACAACCAATTACTTTCAAGACTTCGTACTAAACACCGTGCCCCTGGGCTGAGGGTCCTGATTACCATCATTCTTAAACCTCTTCAGTCTTCCTCTTTTCTATTGATAAAGCAATACATCCTGTCAGAATAAAAATAACCTGATGTTATACAGGTTGTCCAATTCTTCAATTCTTTCTTTTGCCCGATGTGGGACGAAAATTAAGCAGTTATACTAACCCAATTTTTCCCCACCTGCACAAACATTCGGTTTATTTTTTTCCTGTACATCGGAAAGAATTTTTTATATTAAAAAAAAGAGGGAAGGGGGAACGTGACGCTTGCGTACGCAAGGTAGATGAATTCTTATCAATTTTTTTTAGCTATTTCCAAAAAAAAAGGAAAAGAGGTAATCTTTTAATACCCTGACAAAATCCCGTCTGACACCTCAAAAATCGGAACACATATTAACAAGAAAATAAAGGGAAAGGGAACAGTGCGGGAGCAGGGAAAAAATGGAAACTCTTAGCAGGGAAAAAATACACACAAAAGGGGAAAAATGTTACTGAAAGCAGGGGGACACCTTTAATCATGAGGCTTCTCCCAAGTCTGGGCGAAACGTTCTAACGTCTGATAATCTTAATGTTTACCCTCAGACGTCAGATAAATTTCACGCGAGTCCAGACCGGTTCAAGAGATGGTGCCACGACACCAGAGATGGTGCCACGACACCGGAGATGGTCCCACGACACTGGAGATGGTGCCATGACACAAGAGATGGTCCCACGACACTGGAGATAGTTCCACGACACCAGAGATGGCGCCACAACACAACAGATGGTGCCACGACGCCAGAGATAGTCCCACGTCACCAGAGATAGTTCCACAACACCAGAGATGGCGCCACGAAACAACAGATGGTGCCGCGACACCGGAGATGGTGCCACGACACCAGAGATGGTGCCACGACACCGGAGATGGTGCCACGACACCAAAGATAGTACCACGGCATCAGAGAGGGTACCTCAGCACATGAGATCCTGCTGCAGAGTAGAGATGTATCAGATATCCATACCCACAACCGCATCCGCGGAACATCCGCACAATTTCTTACATCCGCAACAGCATTTTACTGTAAATATATCCGCACATGCATCCGCATCCGCAAAATAAATAAGCCATCCTCATACACATCCGCATCCACGGATATCTAAATTTTCACATCGATACATCTCTACTACAGAGATGTTACAACTTCAGCTTTCGATGATAACATCCACCAAGAGCTCCAAATATCAACTACAAACACCTGAAAATATCCACTAAGAGTTTCTAAAGGTCATCTTCACACACCTGATAACATCCACTAAGAGAAACCATACCACGGGTGGGGTTTGAACCTGCTGTCAGAGAGTCTCAAAACTCCAGACCGTCGCGTTAGCCACTGGGCCAGCTAGCCAAAATAAGATTCGTCCAACTAGGTATATTTCTACACCATAGGAAGGTTAGCATAGGCCCCACTGTGTCCACAAATGCATGTTGACGGCTTTGAGGGGACTTGAACTAGAGTTCGTCACGGCCATGCTAGCGGGAAATTCGTCTGTAAAAACTTGCATTTGTGGACACAATGGTGCCTATGCTAACCTTCCTATGGTGTAGAAATATACCTAGTTGGACGAATCTTATTGAAGCTAGATGGCCCTGTGGCTAACGCGACGGTCGGGAGTTTTGACACTCTCTGACCGCGGGTTCAAGCCCCATCCGTGGTATGGTTTGTTTGCAATCGTGTCATTACGATTTCGTGAATCCACTAAGAGTTTCTAAATGTCACCTACACACACCTGTCATCCAGAAAAGATAATTATTTCAAGCAGTTCCTGGTAAACGAACGTGTTTTGACTGCAATGAACTGTGTGCCACGGGCACAAACAGCCTGATTAACCTTCCAGTCAATGAAGAGCCACGACGAACAATATCTCAACCGATAACACCACCAGATGGGTATCATTTAGGAGCACAAATCACGGAACGCATGAAACTTGAACCCATAACGTTTTAGGACTCACCCGTTCCGTGGTTTGTTCGCAGTCGTGTTTAGATCTCGTGAGTCAGAAGCCTAAATATTAATAGCTTACATGGTTGCTTTGATGGTCTTCATTTAGTCACCAAAGGAAACTCACCTGAAGCAGATCTTTACCATAGACTGATTCATTCAGCAGTACTGGCATTACGGCGGGATTGAGGCATGACTGTCAGATGACGACCTGTTCAGTGATGCTGGCGCTATGGCAAGGCTAAGGACTGACTGTCAGATGGCGACCTGTTCAGTGGTGCCGGCACTATGGCGGGATTAAAGACATTTTGTCCTCTTAATCAAAGTCAGTACATTACTTTTACTTAGATAAGTGACTGTGACACTGAAAGGATACAATTGTCTGACTGTAGACTACCGTATGCAGTATAGTATACAGTATTATGTGTTATTGCATATTTTGCTTTATGATACATTATAATTTGGTACGTTTTGTTAATGATAATCTAACTTAACCACATGTAATCTAGCCTAACCTAACGCAACTCAGCATAAATAATGTCAACCAAGAATTTTGCTGAAAACAGAGTGCAAGAAACGGGCGTAGGATTGAAGAGGACAGGGAATGTTCATCATTTGGGAATCAGAAAGCAAAAAAAAATTAACGTTAAACAATGTAATGGTATAGAAAACCGAGGTTGAAAAATGAGACGCTTTTACAGCATTTGAGACTCTTATTGAGGAAACGTTTCGCCAGCCAGTGGCTTCTTCAGTCCAATACAGAGAAGAATGGTGAAAGATGAGGAGAATGAGGTAATCAGTCTCTCAGCCTAGAGTTGTGTTCAGTCCATTATTGATGGAAAACATTGACTCCAGGCTGAGAGACCGATTACCTCATTCTTTTCCTCATCTTAAACCGATCTTCTCTGTATTAGACTGAAGAAGCAACTGGCTGGCGAAACATTTCCTGAATAAGAGTCTCAAATGCTGTAAAAGCGTCTCATTCTTCAACGTCGGTTTTCTATACCATTACATTGTTTAACGTTAATTTTCTGCTTTCTGATTCCCAAATGTTTCTGATTCCCAAATGAGGAACATTTTCAGCACAGTTAAGGATACATTGGTCAACAGATATTCTGGCTATGTGCTTTGTATAAAGTTGTCTTCCGTCAACGCAGGTGGAGTAACTACGGGTCTTGAAGCTTTTGATTCTCACAGAGCAGGGGATAGCCATTGACCGCAAGAAGCACCAAACGATCAGCTACTGCTGGTGGCTTCCAGGCGTTGCAGCCAGAAGTTTGCCGTGTCTTTTCAACGTGAACTAACAAGCAGCTCTGTTGCATCTCTGTTGCCGAGATGCAACAGAGCCTCATGTTCCAGCGTTTGCGTGCATGTCCCCGAGGTAATTACACTTGTTTTCTTTTCTGCTCGTCATTCTGTGCTCTAATGGGGATGGAGGAATCTGGCCAATTGCTGCTGGCAATTCCCTGTACTACCTCGTTGCTAGGGCAACCATGAAAATGGCCTCGATGTGGCATCTAAATATACAACACTTCCAGATGAGGGAAAATGAGCCGAAAATTACTTCTGAGTAATTAATCACGAAGCAGTATTAAGTTCTCCTAGAATGCAACTGCTTCCTGCACAAGCCTTGTGAA